ATGTACGACATCTACGTGTATCTGCTTGCAAAAGAGGTGGCCTGCATTCTCCCGCTTTCTGCCTTGCTCTTTCTCCGTTGGGGTCTCTCCATTGAAAATGTGTTAGGCTGCGCTTGACTCGATTCAGCTAGGGCTCGTTGGGCCGCCGTTTGTTGTGCGTCATGAGCGAAATCGAGCTGCGAACAACGACGACTACTACCACATCGGCAAACAACTCGTCGACACATTCCCGTCAGGCGGGCATCATCAACGAGCAGAAGGAAGCTTATACTCGACACATGCTTACTGCTAGACACCCTGGTGATGGGAGACAAGCAACCATAAGCCAGACACGTTACACACCCCCACTCGCCTGCACAAACCCTTTATCATTGTTGGCGTCGTTGTTGTTGTCGGGGTAATGGTAGTGGTCGTCCCAAGCTAGGTCGACGCCGCGTGAGATGGCCATACATGCATGTTGTTCTCAATCTCAGCCGCTCGTTCTTTTCATGTGAATTATGAGACTGAAGAGATAGGGTTGCACTTGGCCTGCCGCATACCTAGGCGGATAGCTATGACTTAAAGTGTATTTTGGAGCTGGCGAAATTGCACAATATTCTGTCGATATACTATACGAACCTGACAGGCTCGAACACGAAATCTGATTGAACGAGCAGAGCCTTACACAAGTTGAGAAAAAAAATCAAGAAAATCATTAAGAAAAAATATGCTTTACACGTTTACCGCTTGAAAATGCTAGCGGTTGGATAACAGTTGGCCCTCCTCTACAACATATGATACACGACATATAGCACGGAGAGTATGTTCTATACAGGGGACAGTGATGGCTTCCGCGTTAGGCTTCCAGTTGAAAAGTAGCGACATACGAAGGTGCAAGATAGGAATTCAGTCAAGAGTCAACAGGGCAGTATTGAGCTCATGTCATTATCATGAGAACCGATGGAAAGAAAGTCGTCAGCGATGGAGACGAGTCGGCGGACGTCTTCAGCAGCTCTGTGCTGCAACTGTTGGTGCTGCTGCCGCTGCTATTAGTTGTTGCTACTACGTCTTACCAGACTCCATTCTTTCTCCTACGTTCGTTTGTGCCGTTCTCGTGCAATGGATGGCATAAAAAATCAAAGTGCCCCGACTACTTCTACTGTGACTGTTGCTGCTGGTTTTAATCCTGCTGCTTTCTCCTATATCGCCATTGGCCACATACATAGACCCCTCTGGTATATAATGATCGTGCATTTACTTGATCAGCATCATCAGCAAGACCATAATCATGAATTGCTGCCGGTGGCTCGTCGGCGGCAGTTGCGGGAACGAGAATGACGATGATGATTTTTATGTGGACCGGGCTACAGACGACTACGAGTCAGGAACGATTCAGGCAGTGCGATGCGAAACAAGGCAGGCCAAAACGAACGCGAGATATTGGTGCCTGCGTTGGAGAGCTTACTTGCTCCACCGCCACTGCTGTGTATGATTGCCATCAGGGGCAGCCGTCTCTGTCTGCCTTCTATATGAGCCGCCGCCGTCCCCGAAAACTATCGCTGGCTGAAGCCATTGACGCTATTGTCTTTGTGCGATGTGAATTTTCCTGCATGTCCTCGTTGTTCTCGGGACACTTATCGAGGCTTGGTTTTTCTGTTAACTATCCCGTCCACTTACTAGCATTCGCATAGACGCACATGGTACTTGGATGGCTCACTCTTGTTCCATTTGGACGACTCTTTTTGGCTTGCTGAACTAAAGACTGCCTCGGCATACTTTTCATACCCTCTATGAGTCTCCGACTTTTTCTGGTCTCTTTCTGCTGCGGACAGTTGTATGTATATACTAGTCTTTGATTATATATATGCTCGCTGTGAGTTAATTCCTACTAATAAGGGCCAATGTCCGTCGGTGGGCGTCTAGCTAAGTAAGAACCCTGTATTGCATTTTGCTGTTGTTCTATAACACACACGTCTATAGAACGGATACAAAATTGCTTAGAATTGGACGGAACAGTAGCCTCGTCTTCGGTGTTTCTTACTTGTACTAACTAGGTCGACTTGGCAGGTCGAACGCGTAATTTAAGGGTTTAATATACTTTCTAGCTAGGTCTGGCTTGACAGTCCCTGTGATGTACATGGGTTGGTAGCAATTGTTGATCGGGCAGCGAGCCGTCTGGTTGGTTCGTTCGATAGAGGGGAAACGGAGGGGTATTTGCTGGGGGTGGCACAGCGGACCAGGGGACACGGAGCATGGTCAAGGAGTCAACAGGCTATAATAAATACAACCACTTCGGTGTGGAGGGATTCTTTACACGGGAGTGGTGGTGTCCCGGAGCGAACTGGTCGTCGTCTTCGTCAACGTCTGGTTTGGGAAAGTGCATCGTTGCGCCAACGAACGGCCGCCACACCACCGCTGGCGGCATTGGCTTGCCGATCTGCTGTCCAGGTGGCCGTAATGTCCTCCTATTTGGCTATACTCGATGTGTGCTAACTCACGGCTAACGTGGCAGCTTAGCATCGGTAGTGGTGCAGTAGTGGTGGGTAGGCCAAGCTACCAACGAAGCGGTTGGCCAAGTTGAAACGGATGATCTAAAGCGTCACCAGCCGGCGCCAGCTACGTTTTCGACCAGGCTAAACCGATGAACGAGCGGACGAAGGTTGAAACTGCTGGAGCTTCTAACACGCTGACGCTAGCCCTAGTAAGTCGCTAACCTTGCCAAACTATCCGGCGAGAAGAAGCTATTACAAGGAGTTGCTCATGACTGTTACTGGAGGCCACCCTCTAGACTATTAACTAGTCTGCTCTCTTGCCACCAACCTGCTAGGCTTGTGAGTTGCATACGAGTCTATGAGTTTGCCTGTAGGCGTCGTGTATTAATTCAACAGCAATATCAAAGCTCCAACGAAAGGAATAGCAGTCGAAGCTGTAGCTGCACCAGGTTCACTCGACGATAGCGCCGCTAGCTAGAACATTTGGGACGGGACAACCAACTGGCGTCAGCGGAGCTATACGGCGCCTGTCTGTCCGTTGCTTGGTATCTATGCAATTTTCAATTAACGGGGATTGGCGTAAATCCCCGCGGTTTCTTCCTCGTTGCTTTGGTTCAGTCGGTCAGCCGTCTCTTCAGGTCATCCTCTAGGTCGAGTCCCTCGGGACTACGGAGAGACTAGCCGGACGAAGCCTGGTTAAGAATGAGAGAAGAAGCACAGATGAACATATCTAGCCATCTGCAGCAGCAGAGGCAGGCGAATCCATCAGTTGAACACAAAGCGTAGCAAAAGGCTTTTTTTTAGTTGCCTAGAAGACGAGCTACCGACATGTTTTTGTTCAGATAAACTACTGGACTACCGGCGGCACCAGAAGCAGGCAGTTGAGATACTATCTGACAAGAAGCTTACATGGCCCGAAAAAAATCTAAAGACTGAACAGCTGTTTCGGTCCAGACCGGCTTAGACTAAATCAGACTAACGTTAGATTTTCTGGAAGAAGCAAAGCAGGTCTGCGATAGCAGAGGGAACCTCTGAGTGTGATGGAATAAACGTGTCTCTTCAAACCTGTTCCGTTTTTGTCTCAATTGCTGCTGTTATATTACTTTGCTTTACGCCAAACCCTATGTCATCAGACTGCAGGAAATCCGAGCGCATGCCTTCCGACACCTTTTCAGAGGTTTATATACAGATAAACGGTGCAACGGCATGTATTTGCGTCCTCGCTCATGGTGCTTTAAGTGAAACCATAATCCATAAGAACTGGCTAAGGATGCTACCTTATTCTCCTACAGCTTCCGGGAAGACTGTCGGAAAACATGGCTGGTGGAGGTTCCAGGCTACGTTGAAGCACCAGCAGTTCCTATTCTTGCCTCAACTATATCTTAAGCAGCTCTTTGGCATTGTACCCATGTACACTGTGTGTGTGTTCGCATGTTTGTACGAGGAAGCCGGGAAGTACCGAAAGCCAGAGTCATCGGGTAGTCGTAGCAGCAGTATAGATGAGTGCTGCTAGCGCTAGTAGTAGTACACTTTGAACGACTAAGGCTGTCTAAGAGGCGGCAGCCTAACGGGAAGACATGGTAGGAGCTCGTCACTTAATGATAGAATGAGTGGGGTAATACGCGCCCCGGGCCACCAGCAAGCAGCCGGCTACTCAGCCGGCTACGATCCATTTTAGCCTAATAGTAGTAGTACTAGTGGTGGAAATAGGGGTATACACAGAGAAGTGGGGAAGTTGAAGAGGCTCAAGCATAGAAGGATTGTAGCGAACTGCTACTGCTGCGGGGGATAGCAGCAACGGATGGAGTAGATGGAGGGTTTCTGCTCGACCGTTCGTCTCATGCCGTCACCGCCGCAGCAGTCGACGCCGCTGCTGCGCTAGCCTTCCCTTATCCACACACATGGCGCTACACATACATAGACAGAGACTTCGACGCACAGACACACCACCTCCTAATAGTTGCTATCTGGCCAACCGCCGCCGGGCCCCATTACCACGGATCGCGAGGAAGAGCCCTGAGGGCCATCCCGATGCCAAAAGGAGACGACTCTGCGACCGACCGAGGCCATTCACAGGCTTGGTTTGCTCGACTTGACTGGCAAGCAAAGAGCCCGGCGGAGGCAAGCAAGCTGGCAAGCAAGCGGGCTTTCCTGATGATCCCTGTTCGATGTGCGCTCGGGCTAGGTCGGCTGGCTGCCTGGGGGTCCCTCTTCTTTCCGTCGGCATTATACTATTCCATCTCCAGCATCGCCACTCTTATTTCAATCACTATATATTTAGTAGAAGACGCAGAAACGGTGCCAGTTTGTACTGACCTAAGTATCCTTCATGGCTGCCTTGTTATTTGCGATATGATCTAGACATTGTTGGCTAGGACAATATAGCAGATGTTCAGAGTGCTTATAAATTTGAGTACGATACCTCATTTTGTTGTAGTGCCGTAGCTATGCTGTAGTGGTATGTTTTCTCTAATAATGGATCACTATTAGACGCTAACTGTGAAGAATTTTCTGTGCTCGTCGTTTCAGGCGTGCAATGAGTTCACCACACACGTGATGAACCTCCTTCGCGAACAAAGTCGAACGCGCCCGATTACGCCGAAGGAGATCGAGCGAATGGTGCAGATCATCCATAAGAAGTTCAACTCCATCCAAGTCCAGCTCAAGCAGAGTACCTGCGAGGCCGTTATGATCCTCCGGTCTAGGTTCCTCGACGCCAGGTAACATTGTCCTTAGCATAGATATGTATTTTTTGGTTCTGGCTCGCTGCTTTTTTCTTTATCTGCTAGCCGCGATTAAGCTGGACGTGTGCGATATCAAGCACTGGACAGTTGCCTCTTTGCGAAAAAGAAAGCAAAAAGGTAGTCAACATCGTTGTCCTTGCAATGGTGTGAGCTGAGTGAAGCTGCTCTGCTTCCTTTTTCGTACGACAGGTTTGGAGGAAAAGGGGCAACTGCGGGGAGATGGGGTGTGGGACTTTATATCTTAGCACGAGGAACTGTCAGGTCTCGCAGGTCGTCGCGTTCGGCCCTTGAGTACTGCCGCTTCCAGGACGCACGCCTTCGGTCGACAGCAGGCCACCAAAGAGGGCCAAGTACGAAGGGGATGAGCCATTAGCAAGACCGAACAGAGGCAGCGGCGGTGGTAGCAGCCGTCAAGTGACCCCGCAAGCGGCAAAGCGGAGCAAAACGTTTAAATATTTCATTAACCGTCTCTTCTGTCTCAGTCCACTATTTGAGCGGTGGGTCTGCTTTTGTCTGTTCATTTGAGGAGCCGGCCAGTCAGCCTCCAGGCGCTAGACTTGCCCTAACAGCGGTTGTAGCTTCCAGGGAACCAAAGCCAATTGGCGACTCTGCAATAGCCGGCGCATGCATACGAGCTCCAACGATCTAGAAACTAAAAAGGAGCACAGCGCAGGATCGCCTGGGGAAACAGTGGAAGAATCTGAAAGCTGAAGGATTTAGATGGCGGATGTGCTACCAACTAAATGAGAGTTTGATTTTAAAATGCGTTTTCCTTTTAATTTGCTTCTCCGCTACTGCTGCCGAATTAATTGTATTGTGATTGCTCATTTTAGCTATGCTGGACCCCACGAGTAGCACTTAGCTTTGACTAGCGATGAAGCGGCTACCCCAAGACCGCTGGCAGGAGCTTGGCCCCAACCAAAAGTCAGAGGTTACAACCACTCACTCACTTGCTTACTGATTGCTAGATCGAAAAAAAAACCCTTGCTGCTTTACCAGCACCCGCCAGTTTTCGCTCTCCTGGCAACGACACAACAAGAAGGGTTAATAGCGTTGTGCGACCGAGACGAAACTGTCCCACTTGGGCTAGCCGACAGGCTGTCTGATCAGGACAGTGTGGTGCAACCGTGAAGAGTCGACAACGGAGCAAGCAGAGGTAGAAAAGGGTATTGTCTGCATTGTGGAAAGTGGTGCCGCGTAGACGACATCAAAGCGTCTTTGGAGTGATGCTGTTGCCAGGATGGTCGACACTGACGACTACAGAATCGAGAAGATAAAAAAAAAGGAGAGGCAGACACGGATAGAGAGCACCGCTTCGCAACTGCAGCTATAAGGAAACCGAGAGCAAGTGCGGTAAAGGTTTAATTGTACTGCGTGGGGATTCTCGGCCAGGTTCTGCCCGGTAAACGGGCTGGCGAACGAGAATCTGCTGGACCGTCCAGTTCTTTGTACCGCCGCCCTAGCAGTGCCGCGGCGGTGCTACTACTATTACTACTGCTACTACTACTACTACAACTACTACTACTGCTAGTCCATGCTGTGCATGTCTGCTGCTAGTCGATGCTGTCTGCCAGCCAGCTTATTTCTTCGCTCGGATTCAGTATGTCCATCTCCTTCGTCGGAATATAATGGAGCAGAAAGCTGCTGGGTGAGACAAGAGGGACAAGAGGGGACACAAGGTGATGGATGAAATTCGTATCTAGTTTTATTTACACCCCCCCCCCCCTCTTCCTTCTCTTCCCAACGCTATTGTCACCCCCATCCGTTCTACATTGCCCTGTCGCCCAGCCACATTGCTGCCTTCACTTTGTTGCCCACTTCGCCTTCATCCGTTGCGCGAGTAACCTGTGCGCGCCTGTGTCTATAAGAGATCCTGTGTCCATGTCTGTCTCTGGGGCGCAGCATGTGACTAATTAAATGCCTACAATGACTCTGCATGATGGGGGGCAAGTAGTAGAGGTTCGTTACTCACCAGCGCTACAATCCAGCCACTCCTATGGGTCCAACTAAATCCAGTTTGCATTGATATTGAGACAATTACCTACGCCATCCGTTGCTGCAACAGCTCTGAACTGATCTCTAGTTCGTCAAACTGATGACCAGATCAGTTTAACAAAAATGCCATATTTGCGTTTAGTTTATGCTGCAAAAAATAACAAAGCTTTGCCTCCGGAAACGACGACTTCATGCAGGTCAGACCAGGAATAATTTCACCTATGGAATTATATTATGAATTTGTTTGAATGAGTTCGGAGTGTATGAGTGTGTGACTGGTTCTATCCGAGCACAATTTCACTACATACGTAGATTTTAAAAAGTGTACCGCAGCAAAGCGAGAGCAGATACCTTTGATTACGAATGGCAGCTGCCGGTCAGTCTTCGAGTCAGCTTTGTTATGCTAGTGCACAGAAAAGGTAGTGCGCTAGTAGTGTATTGCTGTAAGCTCAAGCTTCTGAACAGCTTGACCCTTCGCCATCTATCGAGATTAAGATCCCCCAATCCCTTTATCCCCTTTCGCCCGGACCCCCATCGAGCGCACACTGATGGTGTGGTACTTTAGTTCGCCACCGTCGTCGATTTGGTGACGCGCCCAAAGGCGGCACAACGATACCGAACTCCAGGGAGTCTCTCTTCGCCCTCTCTCTCTCTCTCTTTGCGCTGGTGAGGGATAAACGACGGCTGCTCAGGTGGCCAGCAGGGTGCTGGCTGTTCTTTCCTACTAGTTCCATAGTGGCAGACCACTCACCCTTCTTCCGTTCTGTTGGGACTGTACTGGCAAACTCGCACCGCTGCCTGGCTACTTGGCTGGTCGGTCGGCGGCCGCTCGCTCAGTCGCCCCTTGCACTACCGATATACCACCAGCCAGTACCTATCCCATACGAGCTGGGCAGGGCTGCAGAAGCGCAGTGTTTAGCCGCGCCTGCGCCTTCACAGATGATGTTTGTTCAAAGTTTCATTACAGCTCTAATGAATGGTCAGCAGTGCCCGCCACCAGCAGCCGTTGTTCGGGTACGAACCACTGCCGCAAGGTGAAAGCAGGAGGTCTGCTGTATCCTTCTGTGCCTGAGTGTGGCTCTGCCTGGGTGTCTATATGCGAGTGTGTGTGGCCTCAGCGATTTGGAAAAAAGGCGGTGGCGGCGGCGGCGGCGGCGGCGACGGCAGGCGATTGACCGGCCAGCTCCGACGGGCTTTGCCAACCAATAATGAGGCGTTTAGAGTTTGGCGAACGGGGTCTGCAGAGGCTTGGCTTTAAGATTGAGAGGGGCAGGGGAAGTCGAAGGCTTCTCAAACAACACCGTTGCTAGCAGCGTCGGCCGTACTTTGCGTTCGACAGTTGGTGCCAAGAGATCTGTTGCACAACTTTGAGAATCCGGATACATGCGCAGTCGCAGCGAGAAAGACAAACTCACCTAAGGTCCTGGACCGTTCGAGGCAAACTTCGTTTTGCCGTCGAATGACCACTGAAAGGCGGTCAGACTTTCGACTTTGTGAAGACTGCTGCTGCAGCCGCCGCTTAGTTGCTTGTTTACCTAGCTTCTTCTCTCAGTCAACACAGTGATGACCGTGGCTGAGTCGGAAGGGGTTTATGAAAGTTTCTATTCTCTTTTTACTGCTAATTGCCTGTAAGTGGTCGTTGTGTCGAACGTAGCATAACAAAGCATAGCGTGGAAACAAAAAGGGCAAATGGAGAGTATTCCACGCCAGAGAATCAAATGAAGAGAACGGGCTCGCCACTGGGTCTTGGGACAGCATGGCAGGACACGTTCGAAAAAGTTAGCAGCTAGCTTTGGAGACAAGCAGAAGCCGACTACAGCACAAGCAAGACGGCAGTCGACAACCGCGAACTACGCCAGCATCAGGACTCCTTACTTTAAGTCTGCTTATGGCAGACCTGTTCAGCGGCACAACTGCTATTCTCCACTGCTATAAATGCCCACGAACGCGTATCGATGAAGAGTTCTAGCTCAGTCGAACTAGTCAAAATCTCCACGTAAGAATGCAATGAGCTTTCTCCGGTCGACCCGTCAGTCTGCGTGCAACGGGAAATACTGGTGGTCACTAGTTTTCCACCGTCTCCTCGCTATGTGAAACCGTCATTGTGCCCCTGCCGCACTAAGCGAGCAAAGGACAGAGACAAAGAGTAAGACAAGCAACCAAACTCAACGGGGCGCCTCCTTACTTGATCAGACACCGCTGCTCCAACGACTGTTTATGCTCCTGCCGCCGCCGCCGCCGTCGCCGCTGGGTCGAGTGGCGGAATACAACGCGCAGCCGACGTTGGAGATAAAACGAAGGCTCATAAAGGAAGAAGCAACGAAGCCGTTGTTCGGTGCTGCTTCTGCATCGCCACCAGCGCCGTTTCTGCCACTCTCGGCGCGTCCCATGTTGTAAACAATTAGAATGACTGATTATCATCGAAAGGTTGCAACAAAAGCCGGATGCTAAGCGGTTGAACGGTGGAACAACGACAATCGGCCAGTGTACGCTAAGATAGCTGCGTGCCACTAAATACAATGAAATGCAGTACCGAGCGGGTTAGCGACTGAGAAGCACGGATATGCACGGGCCGTAGATGGCTGACTGGCTGGCTATTTTGGGGGGATAGAGGCTTGTGGGAGAGAAAGCTTTATTAAAAGTATGAAGCAAAAGGAAGAGAAAAAACTAGCGGCGCATCGAAGAAGAATTATACTCGATCCAGCTGCACGAAGGGCAGACTTCATCTTGCTTATGCTGCCGAACTCTCTCGGTAGTCCCTAGGGCCCAGCGGGTGTTTTAAGGACAAATGACTATGTGACAAACTGACAAGCAAGGCGAATATTGGTAACTGACTAGCTCTGTATAGCAGTGCAATTTGCAGTATAGACGATTGGGTCGAGTAAGGCACACACGGTGTGTCTATGAAAGTGACCCCTTTAACCCACTAGAGCAAAACATATATAAGCCATACAATATCATGTTTTTACATGTTTTAAGTACGAGAGGTTAGCAATAAAGTGCGGAATTGATTCTCAAGTACGGTTCTACCAGCTATACATAATGAAGACTTGAGATGTATCTTCTTGATAATATTTGCAAGGTCTCCATTTAGTGTGCAGCAAATCCTCACATTGTAAAAAACGTAGTCGATTATCTTCTGCACAGACACGTAACGGTCACGAAGCGATCGTTACGATCTTGTTTAGTTTGTTGTAGTTTCGCAATCATTCATTGAAATGTGGGTCCTTAGTTTTTTCCGTGTCTGGGGCTAATAAGATGTGAATTGTACAAGGAAACATTCACTTATCTCCCTGAATGTATATACACACATACATACATACATATATATGTCATGCCTGTTTACGCCATTATATTGAATCTGTAAGTACACAACGAGTTGCGTGAAGATATCACCAGCTGTATCGGAACAATTGAAAGTAGAAATACGAAAACCTATATAAACATAGACTGCGTTGATGGGCGTATAAGATCTAGCAAAATGACCCACTTTACAACCCAACGACAGAGTAGAGGTTCCAACGCGCTAAATAATCATTGTATTCAATAAGTGCGTCAATTATACATGCATGCATTACTTTTTCTTAAGCTATTTACTGATACATGTATCACATTGGCTTTTTGGCGCCGATCGAGGCTCTCCTGTCTTGTTGATCGTTGCTTGCATCGACTTTATTAAATCGACTCGGGCGTCTGGAGACTGATAGGACTGCCTTCCTGGCCAGGTTGTGCACGAGCACTAGCAGAAACACCAGCATGGTAGCAACTGCCACCACCTCACGCCGTTGCTGCTCTTATAAACTATGGAATCGGCTTTCCCGCACTTATCGTTCGCATGCGCCAAGCTGGCTGTTCTCAGCTTTTTCTTGCAACCATCTTTGTGCTAGCTTGAATGCGGCCAGCAGAGCCGCGTGGCAGAGAACACGCCGCAAGTCAGCCGTGGCACGAGACTGCGCAGAGATTAAAAAAAGGATAGAAAGAAGCATCAACGCAAGAAGAACGCAAGTGAACGGGTCCAAGCAAAGAAGGCTGGCGAACCAGCAGCTCTTAGCTACTCTAAGCAGGCAATCTCGAATGCTCAGCTGTTCCCGGGGCCGACTGGTTGAAGTCCTGCGAGTCGGGAGGGGGTAAACAGCCAAATAAATAATTATAATAAAGAAAGGATGCTGCGCGCGAAGCGCCACCAGCCACAGCAACCGCATCGCGCGCTAAATGCCAAGAGTGGTGTTGGCGGCGCTCGATGGCCGCAGCGGCGGGGCAGACCAGCTTGCTGGTGTGCCACGACTTGGGCCATCCGGCTGACTGAGTGGGTCGAGAAAAGAAATTTAATAAAGATAGCAGAGCTCATTTATAATACGCCACCAGCCCGTACCGTCGCTAGCATTAGCCCTTGCCTCAAATCACCCCTATGCCGACGACCATTGCCGCGGCTTCCTCGGCCGCAGTCGTTTCCCGTTGCCTTGAGCTGGCCCCTTTCTACCCGTGCGAATATTGGGCCAACAATGGAAATCCAGTCTTCGTCCGTTGGCGTTTATGTGCGTACAACATTGCCGCATTAAGACGGCCTAATGGAAAGAGAGGCCGACTTCAATTCGAAGATCAATTTATGAGCGATTGGGCCGTCATGGCGGTCGCGGAATCGATTCCATTTTTAAAATTGAATCAGATACGATAAAACATGTATAAATTGTTTAGTGCGGTTGGTGTGACATGTAGTTTGTTTGTTCTCTCGTAGAATGAGTATTAGTAAAAATGCGCTATATACGAATGTGTTTAATCGTTGTGTTTGTCACTTCGTTTGATTTGTTTCTGTCGCAGGAGGAAGCGTCGCAATTTCAGCAAGCAGGCGACAGAGATTCTGAACGAGTATTTCTACTCGCACCTTAGCAACCCATACCCAAGTGAAGAGGCCAAGGAAGAGCTTGCCAGGAAATGCGGAATCACTGTCTCTCAGGTAATAAATGCTAGGCTGTGCTCTTTCTCCTCGAAACTTTTCAGCATGTCAGCAAGACGAACTTATAACTTCTGCAGAATGCCTACATTCAAATGGTACTAGATATTGTCTGAGGAAACCAATTACCTTGTACCGGGACTATTCTCTCAGTAGTATCTGTCTTATACAGGGATATATCTGAGTAGTATTCACTTACACCGGGCAGAGAATAATTCAGTTGATAAAATGAGCTTATGTATTTACCAACGTAGCACTTGGTTTGTATTTCCGCACTGATCGTCGTCGAGATGATCAAAAAGCTCAGGTAAATGTTTGGCAGTTAGTGTCCAATTGCTCGTACGAACTTGGCTATTTAACCGACCTAGTTGCTTGTCTAGCTATATATTCATCGCTTGATCTGTCTCTATTTCTAGCTGTGTCTATGTATATTTGTGCGTTCGCGCGACGCGCTCGAGTGGTCCCCCTGGTGCCGAATAACAGACAGACAGACAGACAGACGGGGGAAGAGGGGTCTTTCTCTGCCTCTGTTGGCTTTTAGAGCCGCACCGTTGCGTCTGTGAAGCGACGAGCAGTAGTGTCGTCGGACGGCTGCTTCTTATTCAAATCATTCATATTCATATTATTATTCATTCAGTCATTCAGTTACCTCTTTTCCCTATTCGTTCGCTTGTCTGCCGCGACTCGTAGTTCTTTTGCTCGTCACTGTTGCCGCAGCAGTAATAGCCAGGCTTATCGTCGTTTTCGCTGTTGCTGCCGCTATAGATGTCATCACAGACGCCGTGCAATCGCCGTTCATTGACAATATCATTACCATACTTAGAGATTAGCAAAAGTCACCTTAATCCACATTTGCATAGCACCCATCATCCATCCAACCCCAATTCCCCTTCTCGTTCTTTTCTCTTTGTGCTTTCCTTCCTCTCCCTATTCCTTATATGTCTCCTTCTGTATATCGCTTTGCCTCGCCCTTCCTTGGTCATCTGCTCCGTGCGCCTAGCACCATCCTCCTTGCTCTCGTGTTTGGTCTCCTTTTCGCATTTTTTCGAACGAGCTGATTCGTGCGATGTTGACCACGTTAACCATCATAGAGGCAGCAGCGGTAGTAGTTCCAGTTGTGATAGTACAAGCAGACAACGCCAAAGCTCAGCGCTTACCGTCTCTTCTGTGAGGCTTATGATGATGCCGCTGCCGTTTGCCAGTTAGAGGACGATAGCAGCAAAGAGAGAAGTAGGAGGAATCGGGGGTGATGGAAGAAGGATGGTAAAGATATACCTACAGCGAACGAGTGTCCGCATGGCACAAAAAATCGACGCACAGCCGAGAACTGCGAATAGAGAGAAGATACGGCGACCGCAACACAGCAGACAGAGTCCAAGAGAGAACAAGTGCGCGTGAAAAGTGACTACGCGTCTGACGACTACGCGTGGAATTTGGGAAAGCGATGGCGCATCCGGCGCAAGCGACGCGGTAAAATTTGAATGATAATAGCCGAACTGCCGCAAGCAGTGAGGACGATGTGAAGGAACGCTAAATATAGGGAGAGATCAAAAGAGGGACAGAGAGAGATCAAACAAAATCCGACAGAGAAGAAGAGGATGAGAAAGGCAGATATGAATTTTTGATGAGGTCGCGAGTTGTCAGAGAAAGAGAACGAGTGACTGCCGCTCTGCGGTTCGCTTGCTTACTCGCTTGCTCTGATGAGCGCTAGCGACTGCTATTACCCCTGATGCCGCTGGGACAGCCATTCCCCCGCCATCGCTTCTTGTCGACCTCCGCCGCCTATTGCCGTAGTTGGTGCTGCTATCTTTGCGGAGCGTGTTAGCACAGCGATGACAGTGGCGAAACGTTTTCTCGTTGTCGCTGCCGAGTTACTGCTGGCTCGGCTGAATGGATAATTTTATCATTATTTTTATTGTATCTGTTAAGCCTAAATAGCGCTAAAACTGCTATATATATATATATATATATATATATATATATATATATATATATATATATATATATGCAGTAGAGTTTGAGTACAGCTGCTTCTCATTATTATAACTGTTTTTCATTTTGCATTTCAGGTATCTAACTGGTTTGGTAACAAGAGAATACGATACAAGAAGAACATAGGAAAAGCTCAAGAGGAGGCGAACCTGTATGCGGCAAAGAAGGGTAAGTAAAACTTGTCATGCCGTCATATGATGATTACTCATTTATCATCCATTACTGCTAGTACATTGCTGCGTCAGATGCCGGCATCGTCATCGAAAAGCACGTGTTATCTCGGGACAAACTAGACCTCAAATTGGACGCTGTCACTTCAAATCCACAGATACCTCGTCAGCCATATAAACGCCTTGCGCCGTTCAACCAAAGTCGACAACATTCCACCATCAATTCCTCGCCAAGAACGTCACATTGCAGCTGACTTCAAGTTTAAGCAGTACCGACCAAAGAAACTAACAAAATCTTCGCCTCCACCCACCTCCTTTGAAGAACGAAATCTTCTTTGCGGCTTTTGTGCTCTAGGTTTGATGCTAGCTTTACGCTGCGCTAACGAAAAAAATATTATGAACATAGAAGCAACATAGAGCTGCGGGGTGTGTCAATATCGATGCCCACTACGAACTCCATTCTGGTTTGACAATTTTTCGTTTTAACTACTTTTCTTGTTGGACTCCGTGGCTGAACGAGCTGAATACCAAGCTATATAACAGAGCTCTGCCGCCAGTCTAAGCGGACCATGGTGTGTATGGATCAAATATTAATAACGATAAAAAAAAATCATATTCGCTGCTACTTCATGTACTCTCCGTTCACCCAACATTCTATAGCCATCCGACGCGATCCTTTGTCCAAACCCTACCTAGATCAGGGCTTTTCTTGTTTACCGTCATCGACGGCATCGGTGGACTTTCTCGTGAGTAATAAAAATTCTTCAACTCTTGCTTGCTCCTCTCACATCTATTTCGCTCGAATCCGCATCATCATACAGGATCGTATAGGGTAGGCTTGCATTAGAAGACTCCTGCAAGAAAGAGGACGACTACGAACTCCGTTGCTCCTCTAGTCGGCTCCATGACCGGTATCTTAACACGCGGCAGATCTGAGCAAGATCAGAAGTGACGCTTCGACGATAAGTACAGAGGGCACGGGTTAGCCACCTTAGTACGATTCACCTCTACGAGCAGCAGCAACAACTCACGCATCTCCGAGCAGCTAAACTTGCTAACCGCTGAAATTTGTTTTGTCCATGAGCCTGCTGTTTTTGTCCTTTGTGGAGTTTCCGTCGGTTTAGAGTCGACGGCCTTTACTCGCCTGCTGCGCATTGTTTTCGCGGCTCGTTCCTCTTGCTATTGTCAACCTGTGTCCGCCGAAACCACTGCAAAAAACTTATGGGATGTTCCTTGGCGGGCTCGTTGCCCTTTTACCGCTTGAGGCAACAAGGCGTTATCCGCTTGATAACAATGTGCGATCAAGTCTTAATCCAGCTAACGCGGTCAGATATTAACAAAAATTTTCATAGACGCCGATTCGTGGCGCCGCTCCTTAGGAAGTTAACTTTGCCAATGCTTCGCTAACAGCTTAAGCCTAAAGTGGTAGAAGTACGAAGTGCAGTCGGTGCAGCAGTAGCGAAGGCCTGTGACATTAGTGACAATAGCAACAGCCGTAATGGTCGTACAACTCGAGGAAGAGTCATTTAGAATTAGATATCCATCAAGTATTGAATAATTCGACTTGACGCAACGATGTGCTACAGCAAAGAAGAAGGATGAAGTAGAAAAGAGGAGTTAGTAAAAGTGTGGTATTAAACGGGCTATCCTGCTTCTTTGTCTATCCGCGTTCCTGTTAGGTCGCTGACTCAAATCCTACCCGTATGTTCAGCACACACACACACACAGACACATGCCCACATACATATCAGAGGCATATCGAAGTAGGTGGAAAGATCGTCCTGCCTGGTAAGAAGGCTTGTGGTGTTCCCGCCTGCCCACGGGGGAAAAACAGGGGCTGGCAGGAATACTGCTGCTACCAGCATTGCCGTGAACTCTGGTCAGGCGGGTGGTCTTATGAGTGGGAAGAAGAGGCACATTGCTAGGATTGCTATATGCTGCCCAGCCGTTCGTGGGTTCAAGGGCGTCGTCTATCTGAAACGCCAGCATCGTCGCTGTCTACGCTGGCGTCGCCCTCACTGTCCCTTGGCCTTCCTGATCCTGATTGATTGTGCATGAATCACATACACACGCAGTCGTTCAGCCTAAAGGGATTACTGGCGTAGAACCCCTTCTTCTTTCTCGCGTTCCTTATCCGAACTAGAAGAGGATACGATAGCGGATCGAGGATACGCGAGAAAGCGGCCGCACTTCCGCAATGAGGGCAATGCGCAACCATACGACAAGCATCCAGTATCCGAGTGCCGTGGACTCAGCTAGTAGTACTAATAGTACTATGCTGGCCCGTCCGATCTCACTCGGATACCCCTCTCCCTAAGTCGTTTGCTGCGCCGTGGTGGCGCAATGCACCCGCCATTCAATGACAGTCTCAATGGGGGTCACCCGTGTGGTCCTTTTGTCCTGAGTGGGAGTTACCGTTCTCACACTCAGGTGAGTGATCAGCAACGTGATGCACTCGTCAGCTATCAGCCACCCTTGTGCATTGAGTCAACTTATCGCTGCCGCTGATTCCGCGCTCATTAGACGCCCCATAGTAACAACGGGATGATAAAACAGTGAGTTTCTTATATGAACAGTCACTATTGGAATAGAAATGTGCGGCCGTATTTATCATTTTCATCGATTTTATCGTTCGTGGAGCTGAACGGTAGATGGGCAAAGCGACATATTGCAGACACCGCGTCTTAACGGGGATTCTGAAAGGTCGCGTCCTCGCATTGGCGACACGCCGCCTGGCGTTGCGCATAAGAGGGTGCGAAAGACACTTGTACACGTGCCAAAATATCCCTCTTGCCAAAGAACAAAACTGAAAGTAGTTTAAAACCAACTGCGAAAGGATTTGCGTTATGTAAATGTTTGATCTTGATTAACTAACCTTACGTTGATCAGCCCTTTGTTGTCATATTTTCCTCGTTTCGTGTGTCGTATACTAATCGTATACCCATGTTCAGTCCGGTTACTCTATTCAGAATCGATGCCATTTCGTTCCCCTGCCAGTGCGAAATTATCTTATTCTACAGCCCCATTTTTTTTATCACTCTCCCCACGCTGCTCCACGCCTTTTTCTTCTTTTTTCTCTGTCTCTTTCGTACTCTATGGCAGTGAGCAGCAGACGAAACAATCGAATTGAACGACGTTTGCCTTAGTTGCAAAATGGGTTCGAAGTACAGGTGGCTAGGGGCGCGGCCTTCTGCTTTTTGTAGCTCCGTCCGAACTCCAGTATGCGAGGCTTCGAAAGACTACGCCACCGTAAGACCTGTGGAACTAGGGAATAACGGACTCAGGGCATTGAGGATGAAAAGACGTAGTTGTTGAGCGAATAAGGTACGTAGGGAATGAACGCGGACTAGGGGAACGACGAAGAGACAGCATTAGGTGTTACAACTTGGGCAAGAGAATTACGAGTAGTATGACACATTTGACACTAATTTCATTTGTCGACGCTTGCTCGTTCTTGCCTCACTTGGATGGCCTGGCAAAGCGGCGACGTCTCTACCAGAAGAAGACCAGGCTGAAGTGGGACTGAGTAAAGAGCTGACGAGAGCTCGTTTGCTGAGCGCTGACTGTTACAACATCTAAGCAAGAAAATAGAATTCCCCCCGGCGAAGCCAATGTATGAGTTTCCTGGCATTATTCCCTCCAGTTCTGACTTCATGCCCATAATACTCCTGCTGATGATGGTCTCCCTTTACATGTACGTATGTACAAAGGGTCCGTGGTATATAGTATTTACTGCAGGCATACGTACTGTTAAAATCGACGAAGGCCTAAAGAACAAAGGGACAGAAGAGCAGACGCACAGAGACGTTTGTACCATTGGCGAAAACGTATTGTCACTCTCCGCCTAAATCGTTGCTGCCTTTCCGTTACTTTATCACTTCCAGGCATCTTCTTCCTCTAATCGACTGTTACTCTTCGCCGTGTGCCGCCGCCGCTGCCACTGCTACTGCTGGAGTGAATGTGGCTTCTAATGCTGCCGCTTAGAATGGTTGGCTGCTTCACTGGCCCGTCGACCACTCTCAATAATCACTTTTCTCCGTAAGGCTACTATCGATGTCGCCAAACCCGTGGTACTGCTGCCGCTGCTACTGCTGATACTCTTCCTTTTGCCGTTATCTCTTTGGCCCCTCTTTAGGAGCCTGTATCATCTTGATTCCCCTTTTGATTCTTCTTTACGCGATACAAGGTTCTTGGCGTCTCCGATGGCTGTGGATGCTTTCAAGGCTTTGTCCTGTTTATCGTCGATGGGCTGAAATATATTGTTGTGGTACTACTTTTCGCCTTATTGTGGCGCGCTGAGTTCGCCTCGGTGCCGCCTGGCTGCCCTGCCATCCTTTCGATGGTGACTATCATTATTGTGACCAAAGTGTGGACAAAGGTGTACTTCCGTGCTAGCGGTAGGCTTCGTTAGAGAATCACTCTTGGCAAGCAAACGTATCTAGTAGTCTGCCAATGGTAGCGGTGGTCGAGCGAAGCGCTCTCCACTCACGCTGGAGTGGAGTCTGCAGTCGCTTTCTTGCTCTGTCCTGCCCCGTGCTGGTCTTCCGTGCTACGCCTGCTCATGGACCCGGCAGACTCTAGCAGGCATTGGTGGGGGTGTAAGCAGCAATTGGTCACAACATGGACGGCAGGCTGGCTGCCAGTTTGCCGATTTACCGGCCTTCTTCATGGAAAGCATTCGACCTATAGCTTTGGGAAATAGCCGATACCGCTTGATTCCCTTCGATCATCTCGGTCTGCTCGTTCGGGCCAGAGTAGGCCAACGAGAGTCGCTAGCTGCCAACCACAGACAGGCTCTCCTTTTTGATACGCGCACACGGGTTGCTTTCTTTGGCGGCGGCTGCTGCTGCTGGCCACTTCGAAGGAGAATGAACGAGATATCGAGCGAGAGAGAAAGACACTGCTGTTCTCTGCCAAAACATTTCCCTCGGTAGCGGGTTTTCTGGTCTGCGGCAAGTTGGCGAGTTAATCACGCATTGTGGGGAGCAGAACGACCCA